AGCAAGGACGCTACTAGGGGCTCCTGGCATCGCTACTAGGAGCAAGGAAGCTACTACGGGCTCCTGGCCTTACTACTAGGAGCAAGGACGCTACTAGGGGCATCTCCAACCCTGTTGAGGTTGTGGAAGGTCAGGCCTATGGAGCAGCTTGGCACAATCTTCAAACCTCCTGACACCTGTTAGCCTGAAAGCACATTCGAATGGTTGCAGACACTGCTTGTTTGTTGTCCTCAGCGGAAGTGAAACTCAGGGCTACACGCACTTCATTGTTTACACGCGCTCCAGCTTTGTGGAGCAGACCACACCCAAAAGCCTTTCGTTTGCTGAAGCGACAGCAAAGTATCAGGCCACAGATTGAACATGTTTGAACCGATTTCACGATCTACATAGATTTATTCTTGGCAGGCCAAAGAAGGCCCTTTACATTGATGTTAAACTTGTCAGAGTCCGATGAAACAGATTATATAACAACAGGTTTCCTCACCTGCCTTTGTGGACTATGACCTCGACGAAAGTGAACTGGGTGGCACATTGAGCTGGTTGGCGCCGGAAGTCACCCTAACGGTCACTGGCTACAGAGTCTATTTGGCAGAGGAAAGGGGTGGACCAAGAAACACTTGACAACCTGAGTCAAGCATAGCATTTCAAGTTCTAGCCTGAATTTATGATGGAATTGACTTCAACATCGCTAACTTGTTGCTGCCAGGATGCCAATGGCACAAACAGGTCACTTCTGGGAGAACAAGTTGAAGGCCAGCTCCCAACGCTGGACCTTTTCCCTGTGACTTGTTGGGCTTGCTCGAGGAGGAAACGAGCTAGCAGACATCAGAAACATAGAAAAGTCACGACTATCATTTAGAAGGGCCTTCGGTACGTAGTATTTTGGCATGTGCCTGCTGACATTGTTTGCCTTTTCGTGTCGAACTTGACATGTGTCAGGCTCAGACTACCTGACTGTGCCAGTGAATACGCAACTCATGCACTTTGGCTGAGCAGAGATGACTTCATGTTTTTCATGAAGACCTGTTTGCTTCGCCACAATGCAGCCAACTGAGACCTTAGTTTCTAACATACATATTGGAATGAGACCGATGAGACAAGGAGCTTCAGCCACTTCCTCATCCACTCAGTGTCAGCTTCTACCGAGCAGCGCACACCTGTGTCTCTAGCTATTGTGGACTCATGGTCGAGCGTGACTGGCCTTTTCTTCTACGACCAGGACTGCCTGGTCTTTGCTTTGCAAAGGGATTAATACTTCCAAAGCGCAAAGCGAGAAAAACGACGCAGTATATTGAAGCATATATTACAACGAGCTTCAGTATCGTTGCTTGAAAGAACATCATGATGTTCTTTAGAAGTTTTGCTTTGCTTTTCTTCTCATTTTCAGTTCGGTTCAATGGTGATAGGATCTCGATGAGATGGAGGCTTGGACGTGATGCAATGACGCCAGAACACCAGAATGCATTGAATGTTCACTCGACTCAGTTGCGGCGCTGGCAGTACCCTGGAAATGAAGAAGCTAAGTCTTGTCAAGATGTGCAAGGTTTGTAAATCAAAGTGATCCAAATGAATCCTGCTGGCAGTACGGTGGCTATGCGATTTGGTACGCTCCCACCACCAGTCTGGACCTCCTCCTGGGCTTGCGCATGTACCTCAGCGACGCGTCCACAAACATAGGCAAGGAGCGAATGAGTTCACTTTGAAGGATTTTTGTCAAACAAGTTAGTAACAAATCCATTCAAGTCGTTTGCGTTTGCCGCATGAACAAGTCGCCGTTTCGTGTTGACAGGATCGGAGGTTCGCAGCCAGCTAGACGGAGATTTTCCTGGCACCACCACCATTCGGGAAATTTACCCAGACACCCCGAAGGCCGCTTGATCGACAGATCACAGAATGTTGAACGGAAGTTCAGAGGCAACAAAAGAGTTCAGACTCGGTGTCAAGAGAGTTGACCTATGCCTGACACCCAAGCTTCCATAAGCTTCCAACCTTTCAGGTGAATGAGTCATTCGGTGTCAACTTTTCCTACCTGCAGGTGTGGGGCGGTTTCTTCCAGCTTTTGTGAGTACTGTCAAAGAGTTGTACAACTTTACTTTAGGCTTGTCGAGTCTAGGCTGAATGTTTGGTTGCTGTAGTGCTTCTGGGAGAAAGCGGTGCGGTTGATTGACGACTAATTACCGATGTCTTGGAGCGAAGCGGCACCACTGGCTTTGCCAGAGGTGGTGACATTCTCCCTCCTCACGGAGCAGTCCCAACCTAGCTTCATCGCCATCTCCGACACTGCCGCCTCAGCACCATGGCAAGATTTTTGACATACTACGAAGTGAATGATCGAAGATTGAGAGCAATGGAGGAAGTTGTTCGCGGAATTTCGCGGATATTTTCAATGTCTCCTGTCGTCCCAGGTCTCTGCCCTTAGCTTCTTGGATTTGGATTTGGATGAGAGCGAAATGGGCGGTACGCTGTATTGGGAAGAGCCCAGCGACACTTCGCAGGCGGGAGAGAACGAGTGAAGAATGAGACACAGCATGCAGCAGCATGCTCCAACATGCTCACATGAGACACAGATGCTCTTTTTTACCGATGCTGGATTCTGTCTCATAATGAATCTAAAAGACGGAACATGCTTTTCAAGCGTTCGACAGTGTGCAATGCATTCAACAGCAAAAGTTGCACAGTGGCCAAATTCACTTTAGAGTCGTCCTGCAGGTTGCCAGATACCATATTTACAAAGCAGGCACCCTGACTGACCTTAGATTGGTAGGACTCCACTATATACTGTATATTTAAGCCGAACCAGATCTGTAGCGCATAGATGTTTGCTCGGAGCACTGGGTGTCTGTTGCGTCACCCAAGCTTGTTTTGTTGGAATGCTCTCAAGTCTTTATTGTTTACATCTCTCTTTGATTCTGGCTGAGGTTATGATGACCAGAACCTTTCAGCAGATTTACACGCTTTGTCTTTCCAGTGTGGTCAACTGGGGAACCTATTCCAAGAACCATCGCACGCCTGTATTGGCATCAACTGCATTAACTTTTGAGAGTACAATCTCGAGCCTACTGCCCTTTCAGGAATGGCACGAAGGAGGACTGGAGCCTAGAGAATCCTGGTACAAAGAGTGCACAAAGGGAACACGATTTGACAGATATTTATGGCCCCCCCCATGCCTGCTCTCATTTGCAACTATATATGGATTTTGACATCAAAGGAATCTGAAGTGCGCTATGGCTGTGCTGAATTGCCATGTCACATTCTTCTGAAGACCCAAGAAGGTAAACACGTGGACAGGAACAAAGAAGCTACTAGGAACAAAGGGCATCGCTACTAGGAACAAAGGGCATCGCTACTAGGAGCAAGGACGCTACTTACTAGGGGGGTCCTGGCCTTATTACTAGGAGCAACGATGCTACTGGCTACTAGTAACAAAGGGCATCGCCGCTAGTAATAAGGGCATTACTACTAGTAGCATTTTGGAAGCTAAGATTTTAGTAGGAACTTGATTGACCTTTCAGCCTTTGAGGAATCGGGAGTTCATCGTGATGTTCAACCAGCCGGCATGGTCCTTTTACTTTCCAATTGATTACGCTATACAGACCTTCACTGATGTGTTGGTCTATGCAGCACCTTGGACTTTTTTACCAGCGCCACTTTGGTAGCGTTTGGTTTGCAGCTGTCCAAGGTTGGCAAGTGGGGGGCCACGTTACTACGAGCAGACAACACCTCAAGTGCTGAAAATTGTCGACTCCATTGCAAGTGTTTCCAACATAGTCTGTGATGATCGAAGCTTGGCGCTTGAAGCCTGGAATTTTGACACCCAATTTTACAAACTCATAGACCTCATAGACTCATAGTGCCCGAAGTCTGTTTGTTTTTTGTTTGTACTAGTAAGGCACCTGTTACTACTAGCGTGGCACTTGTTTCTAATAGCTTCTTGTTACTACTAGTAAGGCACCTGTTACTACTCTTCACGCAGAGATGCCTTTTCGAGGAGATTTGGATGCCGAAGAGATGGGGGGTATTGTCACATGGACTCCTCCAGAAGACGCATCACTGGTGCTGGTGTATCGCAGCTTGGTGTCAAACAATAGTGAGGCAGACGACTTGACTCCCCTTTCGACTCTTTGGCGGATTTCAACGTCTTGAATGGCAAGTCATTCAATCTTGGATTGGTCTGCTACTGAGGTCTGTATGGAAATTCAGGAGGCACCAAAACACAGCCGCTTTGCCTGGAGGTCCTTGGAAAATCTGCAGAAGCAATGGCTTCCACAGAGATCATATTTGGACCGCGGACTGATCAAGAGAGAACCTTTAGCCGGGCGCAAAAATCAGAGGAAGATAGGAGGAAATTCTACAGTCTTCCAAGGTTTGGAAGTGATGTCGAAGTGGGCACCAACCACTCCGAGCTGTACAACTTCCCAACGCAGCTCGTTGGCGATTTGGTCAGAAGACTCTTGAGAGATCTTAAGCACCTCCAAGCCATCGAGCAAAAACTTGTGTCACTTTTTGCACCTTGCACAGTTCAAGGACCTACATAGAGCCAGGTTCCATGACTTTTGAGTGGCATGGTCTGAAAGCAAGACAGACAGCACATTGCATGCGCAAACGGCAGGAGCTTTGGCTTCCTGGAGATTGTGACCGTGTCCTCTCTCACTGAGCAAAGCAGCCCCGTCACCTTGCCAGTCAGTGATTCGTTGCTCGGAAGAAAGACCTAGGAGCAAGGACGCTACTAGTAGCTCCAGGCCTTACTACTAGTAACAAGAAGCTACTAGTAACAAAGGGCATCACTACTAGGAGCAAGGACGCTACTAGTAGCTCCTAAAGAGCTCCGTAAGAGGGAACACCGAGACAACGAGTTGCGAGAAAGACACTGCAACCCGTATCACTTCGATGGCAACGAGCTGCACCGACTTTCCAAGGGTGGCTTCAGTAGACAACATTTCCTTCACCGACTACGACCTTGACTTCGGAGATATCGGGGGTACTATTGCCTGGGACAAACCGGAAGATGAAAGCAAGGCTGGGGAGCTGAAAGGCGTAGTGTGGTGCACAGGAGTGGTTGCTCAGGAGCAGGAACTTGAGTTTTAGACTATGCAATGCTTTCGACTCTCTCTGCATTCATACCCGCCCTTCACTTGTGCACAGTGGGCACAGGTGATTTGAAAAAATTTGAACTGTCTCGACTTCGCTTCTGTTCATCATTGGCTGAGTTCCATACTTGTAAAATCCGACTCATCAGCTATTGCCGCTATTGCCCTCACAGTTTGCAGGTCCTACAGTATGTGGTCTACCTTGCTGACAGCACGACTGGTGGAACTCTGGTTGACCTAGCAAACTTCTCGGATCTTGGTGCCTTAGACACGAAGGGGTCAAACTATGCGAGCTGCGGGTTACGGTGGTAATCAGCATACACTTGCCACCCCACATGTGGATCGGACTGATTTGTTCTGAGGTGGCCGCGCTGAGCTAAACACTGTCCCGCAGGGGCAGTACAATGCCAGTATAGCTGTGAATACCCAGGCTGCGTACTGGTGAGGGCAACTGGGTATTTGTTCAGTCCCCTTTTTGACACATGGCATTATTGATAGGAAAAGCATTAACAATACCCGCCATGAAAGCAAGCCAGCAAACAAGCAAGCACACATTACATGTCATGACCATGTCATTGCCACTGCTTAGAAGCATTGCGAAGTGACATGCTGATACGAAGCAGGTTGGCTGCAGTGGGCTGCAATGCGTGGGAACGCACCTGCTGGTCTATACACAGCACCTTGGATGACACCTTTCCGTCTTTGATGGACCAGTGACAGTTGTTCAAACGGACTGAATTGCGAGGAGCTGCTGCATGACTTGAGAATATGTCTTTTCTTTACTTATATAAATAATCTTAAATGTTGAGCGGACCCGGACCATCCAACTGGCAGCTGCTCCATGCATGTTTGCGCAGGTCGGATTTCACTGAGCAGACCACCCCAGTAGCATTCAGCTTCTACGACACTGACAGTGTCACGTCTGAAAGGCTGAAGTGGCTGAACAGCCCTTATGTGATCGCTAAAAGGAACCTGAAGCTACTAGGAGCTCCTAGTCTTGAGATACAAAAGTCCAATCCTTGGCGTTACTTTGACATGTAAACCTACTAAACCTCCGACCAGCACAGCGACCGGGCGGCGCTTGCTTGAGGTCTGGTTGGAAACTTGACTTACATCGGTCGAGATCTTGACCTGGGAGAGCTTGGAGGCCACCGCAAGTCTTTTTCGGAGGCCATCGCTAGTAGGTTGGAGGCCATCGCTAGTAGGCTGGAGGCCATCGCTAGTAAGTTGGAGGCCTCGCTAGTAAGTTGGAGGCCTCGCTAGTAGGTTGGAGGCCATCGATATATGATATAAGGTTGGAAGGTTGGAGGCCATTGCTAGTAGGCTGCAGGCCATCGCTAGTAAGTTGGAGGCCTCGCTAGTAGGTTGGAGGCCATCGACATTAAGGTTGGAGGCCATCGCTAGTAGGTTGGAGGCCATCGCTAGTAGGGTAGAGGCCATCGCAAGCAGGTAGGAGGCCACAGCAAGTCGGGGCAGACCATAAGGTCGCTAATTACGTAGCGTAAGTAGCTTCTTAGGCTTGAATGCGGGAATAGCTCTTGCACTATTCATTTGGTTCCTAGATTTCTTGGGAAAGATAGACACGCACACAGACCATCCAGATGTCTACAGTTGTGCAAGCATCCTTTCCACCAGACTTGCAAGGAACACAATGTCATCCCCAGCACTCAAGACAAAATTCTGACAACTTGCCGCAGGAATTGCAATTTGGGATCCTCCCTCGGATCGCGATCTCATCATCAGCTACGCTGTTTATTTTGGACAGGTGCACCAATAGTTTCCTGCAAGTTTTGACTTGAGACAAAGAGCTGCTCGTGAACTAGCAACAGCTACTTGCCAGGATTCGACCGGCTCTAGCAAATCGCAGCTGGGAGTTGTTCCCTTTGGGACCAACGTGCTGGACCTGGGTTGACGATCAGACGAGCGGCTTTCTAGTTGAGAGGCTTCTGAGCCCTTGAGCAACCTTTAGCAAACAGAATCACAAAGGAATAGAGCATCGTCAGGTTTCGATCTGTTGGATTCGCATGGTAGAAGGGACCTCTTTGCGCATCACTCCTGGCCAACTGGTCAGGGTCTGAAGGACGTTCCCACCACTCTGTACCAGCAGATACCAGTAGCATCTAAGACTTCAAAACCCGTAGCATCGCGATCCTCTTCTCCTTCAGAACTGAGGGACATGCAATCCACAAATTCTAGGTTTGACATGGTGAGGAGCATCCACCACAAACGTAAGGTACACTCTTCCAATTCGAGAGGAGCAAAGACTCAGCTTTACCCTTCACATGTGCTTGCATTTCAAGCCTACCCAAAGGTAGCCTACGGCCCCTCCAGAAAGGGTGGGGATGTCCTAGAGCCATAATTTTCAATCTAGCAAAATTAGTGGCAACAAATTGACTCGACACGGCCCAATCTACTTCTGGTGCTTAGCAACTGTTTCCTCGTATCAGCGCTTGCAGGACATTCCTCCAGAGATACCGCAAGTGCCACACGAGTATCTATTGGTCTACAGCAGGCCCCTGCCTTTGCACTAGGTCCCAAAGGGGAAGAGAGAGAGAGAGAGAGAGAGGGGGGGCCTCGCATTGCATTTCAGGCCATTCTGTTTGCAAGATTTATATAAGACATATGGGCCTGTTTTCTTTTTTTGGTTTCTTCATGATATGCAAAAGTCTAAATGACCCATGGTGCACAATAATGTTAGTAGAAGTATGAAGCCATAGACCAGTGGTCGTGGCCAGGTCATCGATTGCTGAGATGACAACACCAGCCTTCGTCAAGCTGGAGGTAGCTGGGTGCTTTGTCCGCTGAAGATAGTCAGGTACAAGACAGAGACTGAATGACTGAAAGACAAAAAAAGAAAAACATAAAGATCCTAAAGTAAAGGCCCAAAAAGGAAGAATCACAAAAAAGATCAATCAAGTATACATAAGGTGAAACTATTTCAATTTCATTTTTCCCTATTGTTGCAGTAATTACAAGAGCACGACAAAGACAGACAAAGACTGAAAGGACCTATGAGGAGCCTGTAAGGAACTGTCTAAGGCACAAGGCCCTACAAGTAGGATTGGTTATGGGTTTGACAAGATCGCGTTGTGCGTGTTGTGTTGACAGGCTCAAGCTTTTCTTCACAACTTGAAAAACTCGTTCTGAAGACACTCTTCCCACTTTAAATCAGAGAAGTATGGTTGTCGAGTTTCCCGGACACTCGACACGTCGAGTGCAGACCGAAGATATCGGCCCCTTGACCTTGTGCAGGATGCCGACGGCCTGGTGTCCAACGTGACCTTTGTCGATCAGGAAGGGTTAATCCAACGTTTCCAACCTGTAGCCCCCGATGCCGAGCTTTGTAAGTGCTCACTCTTATTCTTTTCTTTGCAGTGGACATTTGCATAGGCGAGGGGCCAAGGATAAGGAAGCTGAAACACTTCCTCAATGAGATTCGTGAAATCCATTTGCTTTTCCGCAGTGAAATCATCCTTTGTCGTCAATGGCATTTTCTCTGTTTATATAGCTCCAAAAATGTGCTTTGCCTGCCATCGAGCAGCCTTTGAAGGACCTGGATGAAGGAGAGCTCGGAGGTTTGATTCAGTGGCGAGTGGCAGGTGATGTCTTGGAAGTGACAAGCTGCTCGGGCTTGCAATATATGATATGAACCAATATTGCTTGACACAGATATCAAGTTGCCGTGTGACTCATGATGAACAGACATCAGAGATCATCAGTATCAGAGTATTTCTACTGGAAATCACAGCTCGTTCACAAGCTAAGGATATGCTGTCTTCTTGGCAGAGGATGTAGCTGGCAGCAACAGGCGAGGATTCCAGAAATTGTCCGCTTGGATACTGTATGAATCTTTGCTTGTGAAAATGAGATGGACTGAAGCATTTGGTGTGGAGATGTGTGAGGTCATTGTTGGGATACTCAACTGGTGCTATGGCCAACAGCTTTCAGGTGCCACCCGAGACTCCCGTCCAGTCGTTGCCTGGCGAAGCAATCGAGTCGGAGTTCTTCTGCGGTCCGCGTTCTCCTGAGGTTCACACACATCACCGTCTTCGCGGAATCCAGCCTAGTTCTTTCGACGACCCCTTATGCTGCCTCTTGGCTCCGTAGTTGTGTATCCTCTTGAACCATTCAGGAAGTTTTCATTGATCAAGAACGAAAGTTAGGGGGTTGAAGATGATCAGATATCGTCCTAGTCTTGAGTCTTAACCATAAACCGTGCCATCTAGAGATTGGAGGTTGTTACTTGCATGACTCTTTCAGCACCTTATGAGAAATCAACATCTTTGGGTTCCGGGGGGAGTATGGTCGGAAGGCTGAAACTTAAAGAATTGGCAGAAGGGCACCACCAGGAGTGGAGCCTGCGGCTTAATTTGACTCAACACGGGGAACTTACCATGTCCAGACATGAACCCAGTTGAACCCGGCTCAACCCTTGAAGGTCAAGTTTTTTGACAATGTGGCCAGCGTCACGGCACTATTCTTCTTTGATCGAGACGCAGATGCTGAAGAGATTGGAGGAGAGGAGTAATTACACATGGCCTGTAGTCCGGCATTGTGCAGTTCTTTTTTAAAATGTTTTCCAGCGAGACACAAATGACGCAGACAATCATTGACTTGATCTAAAACACAAACAAACAAATAATCAAGCAAACACACAAGCAAATTAGATCAGCATCGACCCCGAATAGCAAGAAAAGTAAAACAATCCGTGGCAAAACATGTGCAGGACATGCGGGTAAGCAAGGAGACAAACCATAGACAACAGGGACAAAGGGCAACACAGGCCAAATCGCCTTGGAAATCCTTTTAGGAGGCAAGAAGGAAGACCGAATGATACAAAAGGACAATCATGCCGTGACAGCCCCCAAGTTGTAGGGAGACAAAGGGAGACAATTGTGCCATGACGGAATCCAATTCTAGGCAAGAACGGAGAGCCTCTCCAGCTGGTAGCTGTTTGAGTAACGAAGCAAGACAAAGCATTATCCTCTCAACCCATCATATCACCACATGATTGCGGAGACGGGGGAAGACAAAGGAGACACCATTCGAAAAGAGGCCCGGAATCATCATGGCCCGGGAATGTTTCTACTTCACAGGAAAGCTGTTTAGGGAACAAACAAAGAAATAAACAACAATACAACAACCAACAAACAAAACAACAGTCACCAAAGATGCTGATTAGTTCCCGGATTCATTCTTTGATTTTCTTGGATTTGGGTTTTGTGTGTTTTTCTAGGCCCCATTTCCTGGTCTTTGCCTGCAGCACTCGATGAGCTGGTGGGTTTCCGTGCCTACTTGGCACAGGATGCCATCGGTACAGGGTCTTTGCCCAAGCTGATGAAAGCATCTTTGAAGTGGTTGGACTTCCTTCACAGACCGATTTGAACAGATTTTTACTCTTTCGGTCTTGAAGATCTTCGACATTCGGAAGGCTGGGGCGCCAGTGATACTAAGGCGTTCACAAATCGGCTATCAGATGGACTGGAACTGGTCGCTTGGTGGCAGCAATCCGTTTCCAGCGCCATTTCTAAGCACTTCAATTGTGAGGACAATGGTGGATTTGCCCTCAAACACGCCGGTGGAGGACTACACGCACATTCTGGTCTATACTGTCTCCAATCTTGTGGAGCAAACTACCCCTGTGGCCACAAACATCGAAGATGCAGGTCTTATTGTTTCGGAGGCGTGTGTAGAAAGCACAATCCTCAATCCTTCAATTGCAATACTTTGAAGGGCGTTTGCATAAAGGTTTTCGGTTTTGAGCATATTGATGTTGCTGTGGGCATATCGTACGCGCATCGTACTCATCTCACTCATTTTATCACTTTTCAGGCTGGCTTTGAGGATCTTGACTTGGACCTTATGGACATTGGTGGCCCTGTTTCCTGGAACCTCTCAGGCAACGTGTCTGACATCACTGCCATCACGTGGCGTGGCTGCTAGAATTCAGGGCAACATGTTTGGCACAGTTTTGACCTCGAAAGTACAATCTGACGATAGATTCGATATAACTCGATAGATGGTAGAAAGTTGTTGAGATCATGAGCGAGTCGACCTTTGAGAGCGTTCGGACAACAACTCACCGTCATCATGGTCTTTGTCTTTGGTTTCTACTTCTCTGAGCATTCACTTTCAAGCGGAAGCCTGTTGTCACTGTCCTTTGGGGAATCCCTTAGCAAAGAGGGTCTTCCTTTGTGGATCAGAGACTTTCAGCTTTTTGCTTGGAAGAGGACGTGTTAACCTCAGAGCAAGGCACTATGCCATATACTTGGGATGGGTTGAAGAGATTGTTGAAATCATCACAACGGCGACCACTACGACCAACACAACCAATGCCAGTGAGGCAGGCAGTGCTTGGTTGAAGTTTGGGCACTTGTTGTACCATGGGGATTAATTGGGCAGGCGACTACGACATCAACGGTCACATCAACATCAAGTACGCGCACATCGACCACTACTTCTACATCCTCTACCACATCCAATGCCTCGAATGATTCCGATGACGCAGATGCTGGCTGCAAAGAGAGACACTTTTTGGATCATTTTCCATTGCAACTTGCAACTGCATATTGCAAGCTGCATTGCAACAGGATTTGAGTTTCCACTTGGCCAAAGTCAGTGAGTCAGGACAATTCAAGCAACACGAGCGAGAGTGATGTCTCTGACGACTTGACCACTGCAACAACATCGCTCTCAACTTCCACGACATGGGAGGACGCCATCCATTTCACACCTTTGAGTCCACGCAATGGTGCCAAAAGCCTTCACAGGATTCACATGCCACAAATCTTTGCAATGATCCATTTTCACCAAGAAAGCACATCTTTTTGCTGCATTGTCGACTGTGTCTGATGAGGAAATAGAGAACATCAGCAACACATCCACCGAGACCACAACTGCGGAGGTCTGGCAATCAATTGCAGAGAAAACTTATTACATCTTGTTACTAGTAGCTTCTTGCTACTAATAGTAATGCACTTGTTACTAGCAGCGATGCCCCTGCTGCTAGTAGCTTCTTGCTACTAATAGTAATGCA